ATCGCCCAAAGCAGCTGTGCTACATCTGTGTTACTTCCTCGGACAAGGTGGAACTTCAGTGTTTGTCATTTAATTCATGATTTCATCCAGCTACTCTTTTTAGGGGTCCTGCTACAATAAGCACTCTGAGGGCCATGAAGCACACGCCAGCAAACAGCCAGACACGGTCCTGCTCTTCTGCAGCTCCTGGTCTAGCTGTCGCCTGTCTACCCCCACTCCTGGCTCTTCCCCGACCACCACACCCCTTGCCTAAGGCCCCAGTTACCACCCGCACCCGAGGGCTCCAACTTGCCTCAGCTAAGCCGGAAGTCCATCCAACCGGGCCAGCGCCACGTGGGCACCCTGACTTACGGTTGGCAGTGAAGAATCAATCTCTGTGCAAAGAGGCTGATGGAAAGCCAGCACGTGACTCACCTCAGAGCAGCTCCGTGCTGCAGGTGCTGGCTTGGATCCCAGACGAAATCGTCGTGGTGGAAACCACTTGCCTCTCCTACCTCCTTCAACATGGGTAATATTCTCCCCGTACGTCTCCAAAGCAATGCCAAAGTCAGGCTAGAAAACATGGCAAGGGTTATTTTTATTTTTTCATTTTTATTTTTTGGTATGGGGGATCAAATTCAGGACCTTGAACTTTCAAGGCAGGCGCGGTGCCCCTGAACTAAATCCCCGGCCCAGCAAGGGTTATTAAAGGTTACAAAAGAATAGAATTGATTATCTAGCAAGTGTAACCTGTGGCTGGATATGGCTTCCCAGAATCCACTGGCCTTGATAGCCTTCCTGGGATCTTAGAGAGAAGTCGCCTCCCTCTCCGCACCCCATCACCACCAGCAACACACATCCTCTACGCGTCTGCAATGCCCTTTCCCTGCTACTTGGAGTCCTCTTTATATGACCACAGTTCCTATTCCAGGACTCACTTCTTAGGAAAGCTGGAATGATAGCCTCCTCTCTTCAGGGTGATTTCTCAAATCCACCTTTCTGCATAAGATACTCAGCACTCAATATGTATAAAACCAAGCTCGATATGCCATTCTGGTGCCTTCGCCCAAATCTGTGCATATTCCTTTATTCCTGTCTTAAATGGCATCAGTGTCCACAAAGTCCTGCAGGCCCGAGGGCCAGGGGTCACTGTGGCCTCCCACTCAGATCTTCACACCTTCTGTCTCCTCTTGAATGTCTTTTCCGTCTGCTCCATCCTCCCCACGTCCAAACGGTGGTCTGGGCTCTCTCCTCCCTAGCCAATAGGGCAAAGCCCTCTTCACTGATCTCCCCAGCTCCAACACATCCCTAGCCTGCGAGTCAGGGCGACCTTCTCAAATTATAATCCCAATACAGACACGGCATTGTTGTCCTGGAGCCAGACAGCCTGCACTCAAATCTGTAGGACTTCCGTCACTATAACAAGTAGCTTACCTGCTCTGTGGCTCCATTTCCTTATTAGTAAAATGAGGAGAATAAACCCACCAAAGAGTTACTGCAAGTTTTCATTGGCTGCTCCCAAGATGGCTCCCAATGAGCCCCGCCCGGGTCCTCCCTGTGCATAACCCCTTCCACCGGGTGGGCTGGACCCAACTCCCTGCTTCTCCTTGGTTGGGTTATAAAAGCCAGGGGCTTCCATGTTGCCCACATGCTGACCCCTCTCCCTTGCTTGCTGTGATGAAGCCAACTGCCCTCTGGAAACTCCCGTGTGGCAGGGACTCTGGCCACAGCTGTGTCAGTGGGCTCGGGAGCAGGACCCTCCCCAGGTGAGCCTTGGGATAAACCCAAGCCCAACCAACACTTCGCTCAGCATTATGAGAAACCCTGAGCCGGAAGACCCACTAAGCCGTGCCTGAATTCCTGACTTTCAGAAACTGGTCATAAATACTGCTCTGGGTCACTGAGTTTAGGGATAACTTGTTATGTAGCAGTAGATAACTTCATACAGAGCAAATAGAATAACACAGATAGAGAGCTTAGAACAATGCTGGGTGCATGGTCAGTCCATCTTGGCCTTATTACTGTGGAGACACACTCAGATGGAAAACTCGGCAAGTCTAAGGTGATACCTGTTTATCCACTGGATCCCCAGCTCCTAGCAGGGCAGTGGACCCAGAGTCTTCTAGTCAGTAATAAATACTTGACGACTAAGAGTTCAGAGAAGACATGAAGTAGGGCCCCCAGGCCTTATCTCCTGGGCCACAGAGAAACGGGGAGACCGACCTCACCCCTTCTCGCCTGGCCTCCAGGTCAGTGCACCCCGGCTGTGGATGGAAAGGGGGAAGAGAGGCCGTGCTTTGCTTCACTTGACTGCATAATATCATTGCTCTGCATTGAAGAAATGTATGCCAGAGGGGACAAAAGCAGAGAGCAGTTCACACCCCAGAGTGGGGAGGCTCCGTAGTAACAGAAAGAAGCCACAGCACACATCATCAGCGTGGCAACAGGCCATGCCCACCCTTCACTCGAGACATCTCCCATCCACACATCGCCCATGTAAGACTCAGCTCAGATGCCTCCTCCACTGTGACACCTTCCCCAATGTGCCAGGCAAACGGGGGACTTCCGCCGTGGGCTCCTCCCTCCCTTTTCCTGGTTTGTACCTCCATCAGAGGGTACTAGGTGAGGGCATCCCTGCCAGTGCCTGCCCATCAGCCTGTGAACTGGCTCTGGAGGACAAAGACAGGATCTTACTGCTTCTAGTCCCCTCCTCCTCAGAGCTGGTGGAGTAGGCACTGATGCTGAGTGAATTACAGAGTGTTATTTCCATCTGGCTTGAGGAAGGGCATTCAAGTCCTGTACAAGAAAGTGAGGCAGAGAAGTCAGGAGTTCATCCTGGAAGGAAAGCTCGAGGGAAGCCGCGCATTCCCTGGGGTAAGAAGGCGTGCAGGGCAGCCCCGAAGCCTGCAGAATCAGATCTACTTTGACATGGAGACACCTCCTGCCTGCGTGTGAACAAGGGGACCCCGCTGTTAGAAATGCTAAGTCTCCAACTCAAGCCCAGACCCACTAGGTGAGGAACTCTGGGACCATGACCAGCAGTCTGTATTTTAGCCAGCCCTCCATATGATTCTGATCACACTTAAGTTTTAAAAACCTCCTTCTAAGTCTACTGAAACACATGTGAAAAAAGCTTCAGAAATAGGATCCAGATTGATTCACAAGTAAGATTAAAGAAGAACCCAGAGCCTTGGCCCTTGGTACAAAATCTCCAGGATCAATGAAATGCCCACTATTTTCCATGAAACAGTTCAACAGGCAATTAAATGAACTCAACATATTTATTTTAAATGTGTAAAATGAATTTTCGTATCCTAAGAGTACCACCAGATGTTTTACCTCTTTTTCCTAATTGATTTTCCAGCCTACAGCAATTCATCTGTATTTTCCAGTTGGATCCCAATGCAGCAAGGAGAAGGTGTCCCGGCAGGATTATTAAATGCCATGCATTTTAAAACAAGCAGAACATGGGTTGTTATGCATCATCCGGGTAGTTGCCTCCCCAAAATATAAAGAACAGACACTCTACGCAGCAGCAGATCAGAGCAGGGAGGAAACCCAAAGAGCGTCCTCTGAGGAGGTCATGTCTCTAGGCCTTGGCTGGCAGCAGAGTCGAGGCCTGGGCACTGGGCCCAAGGCTGAGCTCTGCCCCTCAGAGTCCTGCACGCTTGGTACTGAGGGATTTGCTAGCTCTGAGACCTGCAAGTAAACACTGTTTTCAACGCAAAGTTTTGCCTCTAAAGTGAAAAAGAAGTAGGTGAGGGGCAAGGCAGGAGTGAGGCAGCTCTCAGAGCAGCCGGGTCCTGGGGGACCCTGCCCTTCCAAACACTCCCCTCTGTCCAGCGGCTGCACGCCCAGCCCTGTTCATACATGCCTAAGTGGGGGAAAGGTCACCACCAACCAGGTTTTCTTCACTCCCAAAAGCTCTTCGACCTGAGAGAAGACCGGCAAACAGAAGGCTAGCTCTGAAGCACACAGCTTCAAAGGCGATCTCCCCGCCGGGGGCCCTGGGTGGGAGGGGGCACCTGAGTGCTAGAAAGCCAGAAAGTGCTGATTTGCAGGACAAAACCTCACTTCTGGGGAGGTGAGGGAGGCTGGCGCTCCTCTCCCTGGAAGCTTCTGGGAGCTTGCAGGTTTGAGCCGCGGCGCCTGCAGCCAGGTTTTAATGTGGTTTCCAGGTATAAATCAGCCTGTCTAGGCCTGAGGACCATTGTGAGGCTGTCTGAAATTAGAGGTGCTCAGGATTGAACCTCTAAATGGGGCTGCTCCAGCATTTAAACAACCACTTAGAAAACCTAGTGTTCAGTGCTGTAAGGTCCTCCTCAGTGCTGAGAATAAAGCATTCTAAGTTACTGCTAGAGACAGGCTCAGGTGGAAAGTTCAGTAATAAAAGAATCAGTTCTTCACTTGAACTCTCCCACGTCCACTCAGCAGCTCAGGCCCCAAAGATAACAACTTGCATCTCAGGGCCACTGTACAACTCCCAGAATCTGAAGGCCATCCAGCATCCACCTGTCTAAAACAACACTACCTAAATTTAAGATGCACAGAGCCGGGGATGTGGCTCAGTGGTTCCGCTGTCTGCCTCGAAAGCGCAAAGACCCGAGTTCAATCCCCGGTACCAATAAATAAATAAATAAAATTTAAGATGCAAAAATGGTAACTTTTCAAGTTCCAAAGAAGCAAACCCCTAGAACAGACTTCCGTGTTTCTAAGACATACAGATGAAACACAACCCAGATCTTTGGCTTCACCTGACTGGACCACGTCCCCATTAACTGGATCTAAGGGCTTTGCTTGGGGTGTCCAAGTCACCCACTTATCTTCCTCTGGAAGTGTGACAGGAACCTCCGTGCCTCCATCGGTCGCCCGGCCTCCACAGACCCTCAACAAGCCATCATCCTAGGCTATTCTATTCGCTACAGGGGAAATGCGGTGCTGCCAACGAAGGATCTCACCTAGAATTTTCCCCTTGCTCCAGTTTCACAATTTTTCCCCAGTTAGACCACAGGAGCCACTTATAAATGTCATCATCATAGTCTTTTAATATTTTACATAAAAAACTGTATACACAGCTTATAGAACTTTTATGTAAACATCATAAGCTCACCACTTTGTCATTTGTCAGTTTATTTAAAAAATAAAAAAACAAGACAATTTAGTAGAAGTACCACTGGGCTGGGAGGGGAGGGGAAAGGAAACGGGTCGGTTTATTCTCTGTACAAAGATGCAGAGAAAATCTCACATAGCTGCAGACTGCCTTGTGGGTAAAAAGTTTTAAATATACTCCAATACTTGTCACCTTCCCTTACCCAAATGTGCACAACCTGCACAATAAAATCAGAAAACGGTGTTTTGCCACTGTTTTTTTCTTCAAGAAACCAAAGCAAAAATCAGTGGGTTTTTTCCCCTCTCCGTTTTAAAAGCCATGATTTTTTTTTAAAAAAGACATCAGAAGTAGATGGGGTTACAGCATACAAGTGGGGTCAGAATGCTACTGTCTTATGCAAATGACAAGTGCATTAAGTGTCAAACAATGAAACAGTTGTGCAAAAAATTCTTTCAACAACAAAAAAGTTTAGCCTTTAAATAAATCAAATAACAGTTTCTTGGACCGAACGATTTTCACTTGTAGGACAGGCACAAAGTTCGCTTATGGCAAAAACAACCCGGCAGCACCTGCAGGTGGCCAGCAGGTGAGGGGCTCCCGGGGGCTGGCTCGCAGGAGCCGCGCCCCTCAGCCCAGGGCAGTTGCAAGGTCTTCCCCAGGGGTCGGAGAGATGCCAAGTCCAGTTCATGCTTGGATGGGCGCCGGATCCAGCGTGGGCCGGAGCTGCTGCGGCGCTCTGGTCACTACGCTCGCCACCACCATTAACCACCATCTTCCCTCCGAAAATAAAATTATATCTATATTTGTAACACCCTCCCGTCCTCCCAGCCCTCCCTCCCGCAGTTCCCGAGGTCTATGTTACAGACAGGGGCAGCACGCGCTCGCGGGTTGCCGGCGCCCGCGTGCCCCTGGGACCAGAGGCGGAGGCGGGGTGGAAATGGGCGGGGGTCGGACACGCACACGCGGGCACACGCGGCCCCACTCGGGCCCGGCTCTTCAGAAAGGCCGCTCGCTCGGGCCTCCGCACTCCGCGAACGCCCGAGCCTTGGGGCGCAGCAGCGGGAGGGCGCCCGCCCGGAGGCCGGCGGCCTGGCTCATAGCACCTTGCAGCAGTTGATGCAGCCGTTCTGGGAACCGTAGCGCTTCTGCAGCGCGGCGCGCGTGGCCGTCTCGAAGACCTCGCGCACGCCCTCCTTGGTCTTGGCCGAGCACTCGAGGTAGTCGTAGGCCTGGATGCGCACGGCCATGGCGCGGCCGTCGTCCGTGCGCACCGGCTCCTGCTTCATGCGCGCCAGCTCGGTGCGGACGTGCTCGTCGCTGCGCAGGTCCTTCTTGTTGGCCACCAGGATGATGGGCACGTTGGGGCAGAAGTGCTTCACCTCGGGCACCCACTTCTCGGGGATGTTCTCCAGCGAGTCCGGGCTGTCCACCGAGAAGCACATGAGGATGACGTCGGTGTCCGGGTAGGACAGCGGCCGCAGGCGGTCGTAGTCCTCCTGGCCTGCCGTGTCCCACAGCGCCAGCTCCACCTGCTTGCCGTCCACCTCGATGTCGGCCACGTAGTTCTCGAAGACAGTGGGCACGTACACCTCGGGGAACTCGTCCTTGCTGAACACGATCAGCAGGCAGGTCTTGCCGCACGCGCCGTCGCCCACCACCACCAGCTTCTTGCGGATGGCCGCCATGGGTGGGCCGGACCGGCCAGTACCAGGGCCGCGCCGCGCTCGCTCGCTCGCTCGCTCGGCCGGCCGGGGGCGCTAGCTGCGCCCGGGGCCCACGGCGGCGCGCTGGGTCACTGCGCTCAGGCTGCCGCGGCGGGGGCGCGGGGGCATAGGGCGCGCCGG